GTAGTGGAAACCATCGTACAACTTAACAAAACTGAGGAATGGATTCTTCCATTTGCTCCTCAATAATTTTCTCAGAAAAATGGTCAAACAGTATGACAAATGAAGAAATGGAAGTTTATGCAGATGAAGTAACTTTTCCAAAGTATAAGGACCTGCCCTGTATTATGATGATCCTTTTCAGTCTATCCTCAGCGTACGATCTGATGAATGTTGGGATGGCTTGCAATACCTTACACCCAAAGGGAGACGAGGCCTGGCAGCCCAAAACACAATCAAGAAACCCTCTCCGGCTGATAGAAATCCTGTGATGTTGCCTCCAGACTGAGTCTCCTCTGTTTAAATAGAAGGATATGGTCCCCAGGGACATGGAGGACATGGAAATGACCAGACAATGAGTTGAAGCAGTCATCTTTCTAGATGACCCCGGATCTCTTGGCGGAAGTGTGGATGAGTGGCTGTGGGTTAGTGCAAGGAAGCCTACAGACCCCTCTGTCTGGTTTCACGGGAGCTGGCGTAGGATTTATGAGTCATTTGGTGACATGTTTTCGTTGGAGGCATGTGTTAGGTTCCTGAACCCCAATAGTGTACCTTCTGAGGCCTGGTGTCCTTGGGCTGGCGGTTGGGTGTGGGCTACTGTAAGGAGATTGCCCTTCTTCCGCTGTCATTTACCCCAATTCCCTCCCTTCCCTCCAGCCGGTCCCCATCGATGACAACTTCTGTGGGCTGGACATCAACCAGCCGCTGGGAGGCTCAACTCCAGTGGAGGGCCTGACCCTTTATACCACCAGCCGGGACCGCATGACCTCAGTGGCCTCCTACGTTTACAATGGCTACAGCGTGGTTTTTGTGGGGACGAAGAGCGGCAAGCTGAAAAAGGTAAGAGTTCGTGAGCGCAGACCCCCCCCACCACCAGTGCTGTTTAGCTGTTGGCTAAGATTTGATACAGGTAACTAACTCTTCCTTTCCTTGAAAGGGGTTAAGATGGGGGAGTAGAAAGGTGTTAATTTTGTGGCATGTTTCAGTATTGTCCAAACTTCACAGAATTAGAAAGGTACCTTAGCCCGAGGGCGGGGGAAAAAAGAATCAGCCTTTATCTCCAAATCAAGTAGAACCGACACTTTGACTCTGTGTCATGAATCACCCACATTACAAATCCCTTGCCACCGTTCGCAGAGTTGACGGCACTGGTCAGAAGTCTTTGTTGCGTCCAAAGCAGGTGGTCAAAGCAGGTGACTGGGCCCGATTGGAAGAATCCAGGCGTGTGGTGCCCGCGTGAGAAACCGCTGTCCTGCCTTTCCTCTGCCTGCAACCACAGACCCTTCCCCGCCCTTCCACTTGAGCTGCCGGGAGGAAGTCGGTGTCTTATCTCACGGCTGCCCCGGGCCCCTCTGCCAGCTGGAGGGCACTGGCTGGCCGGGGCCGGCGGCGCGGAAGGCCTCTGGCACGGCGGGCTCGAGCCAGCAGCTTGTTCCTGCTTGTCTAGAGCTCAGGGTGCAGAGAGGAGCCCGGTCTGGTTCATTATGTGGGATTCCGGCAGCCACATTCTTTCCCGTTGCAGCTCATCCCTTTGCCCACGCTCACCGTCCTGCCTCCTTTCCCCAGTCCCGCCACCTGTGGGCCGAGGCCCGTGCAAGACCTCAGCACGTCTCACCCTTTCGTGTTAACACCCCCCAACAGCTCTTTCCCCCAAACCCATTTAGAGTCCAGGGAGCGAGGTCTTTCGGGAATGTGGAAGGTCGGGTGGCGGGGAGTGAGCCTGAGGAAGAGTTTGCTTGTTCTGAGTCACTGCCAGAGGAGATGAGACAACGGGTCTCGGTTTGTGTGGAGGAGCTCAGCTGTCCAGACAGCTTCTGGTTCTCACGATGCGAAGGCCCTTTAACCCTTTTCTGGCTCTGCTGAAGGTTACTACTTGTTCTGGTCCTGGGACCATGGACCTTGGCTTGGCCTTTAGGCCCATGGAAGAGTATGGATGTGGTTCCTGCGTTTGCCTTTCCAGAATTTAGGGGGAGGGGAGGGAGTTGCCTTACTCTTATTCTACCAAGATTTAAAAGCGGCATACTCCACTGGGCCAGTGTGGAATTCAGCGTGGGCCCCTGAGTAGCGTGGGCTCCTTCCCTGAGGGCTTTCTCCCTGTACTGGCAGGTAGATAGTGCTTTGCATGGGGGCGTTGGGCCAAGGAGCCTACAGGAGTTGAAGTCCAGCCTGAACTCTCTCTGTCAAGCCGGGTGCCCTAGAGTATCATCATCCACCCAGGGGGGCTCCCCTTACTAAGTCATCTGCCCACAGAGACCACCTTTTTCTCTAATGCACAAAAGCTTGCCAAGGGTCAGAGGTACCCACCGTGAGGCTGGCGCTCCGCACCTTGCCCTATTCTTCCAGCGCCTTCACTCACCGTTCTGGATCATTTGTGCGACTCTTTGCCTCCTTTACTCTCTCGAAAGTTCTGTTAAAGGCAGGGGTCATGCTCCATTCATATATATTTACCTCCTTCTGCCTAATTCTTTCACCAAGTGTTCACACATGGGTTAGGCCCCCAAACTGCTTTTGAGAAAGAGAACCATTCTAAGAAATCTTCGAGAGCATCTTGCCCAATACGTTCAAGGCTGGTCAGGGAAACTGAGGCTCTCAAGCACAGAGACGAGGACAAGTGGCTTCTTGCCCTGACACTCAATTTGGCATCCTTTTTGTCCTAAGAGGCAGCCATGGAGCATGGGATAGAGGCCGAGAACTATCTTCAGGTCCAGGCTTGCCAAGGAGTTCAGCCAGGGACTTGTGCTTCCGTTCTCGTCAGTCCTGGGTGTGCGTTACACCCGGTTGCTGACCGGGTGGATAAGGACTGGATAAGTACAGAGAGATCCGGCCAGATGCAAAGGAACCCTCGTGCCGACCTTCCCAGTCAGCAGTCCCAGTCCCAGCCCCAGTATCTCTATGCATCTTGGGCATCACACCCGGGGCGCTGCTTGGGGCATCTTTCCCAGCCACACACCCAAGTTAGCCAAACACTCTCGGCCTTGCTGGAATCCTGGCGGACAAGTTGCTGTGGAGGCAAGTCAGCGGGTTCAAGGGCAAGGCTAGGGGCGTAGCTGCCCACGGCTTGTTCCAACCTGTAAGGTGGCCACTCCTTCTCAGTCTTCACTTGGCCTTTCTTTGACTGTTTCTAAGAGCTCATATTATCTCTCCTTCTCCTGTGCAGCCGCCCTTCCTTTCCACCCACACTCCTTCAAGGCACCTCATACTTGCACCCTGGCTCCCATTGGCCTCCCGTTTACCTACCCGCCCGCCCCCCCCCCCCTCGGGGCCTCAGCCCCTGAGGAAATTTTGGGATGTTCCCCGGAAACTCTACCATGGTCCAGGCCCCATAGCTCTTTCAACACAGGAAGGAAAATAAAGAAAAAAAAAAAATCCAGCTAAGAGTTTGGAGAGGGGAGGGAAGTAGGGTGCGTCAGAACTCGTCACTTCTTCCCTGCCTGACCAGGCGTCTGTCGGACTGTCCGGCCCTCAGCCACTACAGCCATCGGAACAGGATGTTCATGTAGGGAAGTGTAGAGGACTCAGAGACTGTGGCATGACCATGAGGGGCTCTTACATGCTGTGACACATACTTGCTTATACACTGTTCTCTGCTAGACACTGGAGGAACATCACAGACTAGGCCTTCTGAACCCCAAGCCTGTGGAAGGAACGGGCAGAATGAGGATGAGACCTCAAAGCCAAGAGGGGGTCATATCTGCATCAGCTAAGGGTCAGTGCACTACAGGTGATGAAAAGACAGGCCATGGCCCACCACAGGGATGGAATAATGGCAGAGAAACTAACTATGGTGCAATCGATCTTGAAAGCTTTATTGAGGAGGAAGAGTACCAGGATTTGGGACAGAGAAACTAATGAATTGACCAATGGGTGAGAGAGAGAAGGGGATTCCAGACCTTGGGTGCCACACTGAGAAGGTACAGAGCATGTACCCGGAAGGTCCAGAGTACGCAGGGAGGAGGGCTGTAGGATTGGTGAGGGGAAGGTCCGGGTGGTGCACCGTAAGGGTCCAGCCCTTAGAGGACCAAGTGAAAAGGATCTTGGGATTTTTGTTGACCACAAGGTCAAGAGGAGCTGACTGGGTGTTGCAGATTTCCCCAAATTAATTAGTCCTCACTGCTCTAATAGGAGAATCATTTCCAGGTCGTGAGACATGGTAGAGTTTGCTATGTGAAGAATTTTTTTTTTAAGATTTTATTTATTCACTCGACAGACAGAGCTCACAAGCAGGCAGAGAGGCAGGCAGAGAGAGAGAGGTGGAAGCAGGCTCCCTGGTGAGCAGAGAGCCCGATTCGGGGCTCGATTCCAGGACCCTGGGATCATGAACTGAGCCAAAGGCAGAGGCTCAGCCCACTGAGCCACCAAGGCGCCCTGTGAAGAATACTTTTAAAAGGATAGTAACTCAAAGAAAGAGGAGTAGAGGAGGAAACAAAACAGCTTTCTGCAGATAATACAATTTAGAGTATTTATTTTATATTTTATATCAGGTGTTATTCTAAGAGCTTTATATCTACTACCTCATTTAATCTTGATATAATTCTGTGAGGTAGGTGCTGTTATCACTTCCATTTTATGGATGAAGAAATAGAGTCCCAGACATTCATCTGAGGCCACAGAGCTAGTAAATGGCAGAGCGAGAATTTGAACCTTCATCGTCTGGTGTCGGCGTTCATACGCATAGTCTCCAAGCTGTGGAAGATGAACTAGACTTACGTGATATGGCTCCAGAGAGCAGAACAGAACCTGTAAGCAGGAGTTACAGTAAAACACATACCATAAGGAGGAAGTTTCTGGTGGCCAGACTGTCCCAACATGGGAAGAATTGACTCCAGAAGGAAAGAGCTCCCAGTCATGGAAATATCCAAGTCACTAACCAGGGGTGCTGTGGTGGGGCTCCTGCACCAGCCACGTGATCCTTATGCTGCCATGGTTCCTCTGACGGGCGTCGAGGGAGGGCAGGCTGTAGCGGAGAGAGGGAAGCCGAGGCACTCTCGGTGTAGGCTTTGAAGTCACGGACTGGGTTCAGCTTGCTCTCAAAGGCAGACAGTAGAAAGCCGTCAGGGTCAAGGAAGAGGTGTAGGGTACAGACAGGACAGGGCATGGGCAAGATGGTGGGGGCAGGCAGGCCTTGCGGGGGCGGGGAGGGCAGGGATATAAAGGAGGAGAAAGCAGGTTTATTCTGGGGCTGGGCACCATGGTGTCGTGGCTGAGGGCAGGCTGAGCAGCCAGAGAAGAGAGGCAGGGAGCTCGTGCCGAAGCAGATGGAGGAGGACCAGTGGCATCAGGAACTACAGACTCACTGACTAAGATGTCCCAGCTTGAAGGGAGGAGCCCAGGAGGCGGTTGGAGCACAAGTCGTGGGGAGAAGGAGGGAAGGATGTGGGCTGAGAAGACAGAAGCTGACAGGACACGGGAGGGAGGACTCTCTCCAGGTTTGGGGAGGAGTCCCTCTGGTTCCTTCTCTCCCTTGACGACTCCTGAAGCTTCTGTCTCTGTCCCAGCTTTGTGTCTCTGCAGGCCTCCTCTCCCCTACCCAGGCCTTACCCAGCAGGAGTTGGTGGCTTTCTGTTCTGTCTCCCCACTGGAAACAGACTGGTAACGGTCCTTTAGTCTGTCCCTCCAGGCATTGTGAGGAGCACCCTCCTCAGGCCCCTCCCAGCAGGCAGTTTTGCCCTGATGGCATCCAACACGGGAGCAGCTACTTACTCATGTGTCCCCTTGAGGTTCCCAGATGCTGAAGGACAGGGACCCTCTCTTTCATATTTATGTCCCCCTTCCCCACGGCCAGACCCCACATCACTCACGCATTAGGTGCTAATTAAATTTCTCTCCAGTGCACTGGGTGCCACCTTCCTATGCCCGACACCTAGGTGCACTGACTGTGAGAGAATGAGACGCCAAGAGTGACTGCTGTTGACGTGGCTGGTTGCAAGGGAAGGAAGTTATGCTGTGGTAGATATGTCAGGGGGAGGGGGGCGGCAGTGGGAGGAGGCGTCAAGAAAATGGGGGAGCTTGGTGGGTAACAGGAAAAGAGTTTACGAACAACATTTGGAAGAGGGTGGGCGGTCCTCTTAGACACAGTGCCCGGGGTGGAAGAAGGGGACAGTGTTTACTCTGTTGCCTGGAGATCCCCAGAATAGCATGGCTGGCCATCTGCCTCTCTTGGATCAGACTCGGGCCCGCTGACGGCGGGGAGCAGGTGCAGAGGCCCAGGTAGCCACCGCCCTGGCCCCACCCTGCCAGCCCTCCCCTCTGGTGACAGGACTCTTGGACAGTTTTAGAAATCTGCAGAGACTTAGCCCTTTTCAAGTTCTGGGGAGAGCCCTGGCCTCTTTTGGCACCACCTCCTTTCCCATTAGCTAACCAGCATGGCCTCGGAAATGCCTGTGAAATTCTTGAGGAAAATTTTGTCTTTCCCTAAGGGACATACCAACCAACCCAAGGTCCCTGCCGTCCGCAGCCCACAGGAAGCCCTGACTTCCCAAGTCCCATTCTTTTTCTGATTTCACAAAGGGTTTACTAAGCAAAGCCAGGAAAACGGAGCTCCTTGCAGTAGCAGCTTGGGCGCTGGACAAAGATCCATTGAGAGCACCGAAGTCATCCTTCTCTTGAGCCCCAGGGCTATTGTCAGCTCTTTGGTACCACTGATTATTTACAAGACACTTTCCTACGGGTCTTTCCATCTTCTGAGAATACTTCAAGTAAATTCCATGATTACCCCTTGCATCTCTGCCCCATTTTACAGATGTAGAAAACCGAGCCACAGAGATACGGAGTGTCCTCCCTGAGGTGACATGGCTCCTCTGCTGGAAATAATGACATTGGCCTTTATACTTCCTCCCCAAACACACGGAAGTTCCTAACCTGTTACTTGACTTCCTCCTGGGGTGGAGCTGTCTTGGCGGACAAGAGGCCAAAACCGATGAAAAGCCGAGAAACATGCTTTTCTGTCTGTGCCAACGCCACCAAACAATAGCCACTCATTCCTCTGAGTGGAAATGATTCACTCATTTCTCAGTGTGAACCCTGGTTTGAGTCAACAACCGGGGCTGTGGGTCCAAGTCTAGGCGACCTCATGCCTCTCCTGGCCCTTGTGACGGCTGACCCGAAGCCCTGACCCCCTCGGGCATCTCAGCAGGGCCGGGGATTGGGGTCTGGGGCAGCAGACGCCCTCTCCCACTTCCCTGGAGCCTGCAGAGAAGAGTCAGGTGGTGGCCCCGAGCTCACCACCACATCCCCGGTAATGAGTTTGGCTCCCTGCCCAGGCTCCTGCCACCAAACGCGCTGTTTGTTTTGTTTTTTATAGGCCTCTTGGGTCCCAAGCACTGGTCTTCTGGAAGCTGGGAACCGCAGCACTTCTTTGGCACCCAGAAGGAGGCATATTTTTACAGAATCCCCCCAGACCCCCCTCCCCTGGCCACCACATCCCTCTGTTTGACCATGACAGGTGTAGAGAGGCGGGGTATGGGTTTCCATCCAGAGCCCCAGCTGCCCCCCCCCCGCCCCCGGCGAGGAGACCCTGATCTCCCAGAGCCACTCTGAAAGGGGAGATGTTAAAGGTTTGCTTATTTTTGGCGCCTTTTGTGAAGCCCCACAGAGTCTCCCATTCTGGACGGTCCCTGTAGGAGGCATCAGGCCATGTGCCCGGCAGGCCTCTCTGCCGTCCAAGAGGGAGCCCCTGGGGCTCGAGGCTTTATCTCAGGACAGGTGAAACTCAGGGAACTGGGTTTCAGGGACGGGGTGGAGGAGGGGTAAGGATTCAAGCTCACAGAATCCAGGTGACCCACATAAGGCCAGGCAGCATTTGTCAGGGACCAAGGTACTAATATTTACAGAGCTCTCATCTTTAGGAAAATACAGAGCACATCTTTTCAGGCCATTGAGGCTTGCTTGCCCATGGATAGAGGACGTGCACACGTATGTTGGGGTTGGAGGGGACCTCCAAAGGCCACTGGTTCCGTTCCTCTGCCTTCAGGTAGACACTGATTTGCATAAGCAAGCGTAGATGGCTTACGGGATATGTCCTGACGCTTGGTCGCTTTCTTTGTCTGTAACACGTGAGCAGTGACAGTACTCACCTCTCGAGCTTCTGCTGAGAATTCAGTCCAGTGATTCGTTGTTGAACCAAGAATGACTGAGTACCTACTGTGTGCCATTGTCTGGGTATACAGTAGTGAACAAAGCTGTCAAAATGCCTGCCCTCAGGAAGATTTTATCTCCCTGTCCAAAGACAGACTGAAAAGAAAAAAGTAAGTCAGCACAACATATAGTATGTTTGGAAGAGAGTAGGGGCTCATAGAAAAAACAGAGCATGGTGAAATAATTCCTGAACAGCATGGTGTGGGATCTGAGCGTATTTGATCTTAAATATCACCACTATTGCGACTTTAACACGTGAGCCTCGATTTTCTTCTTCTGTGGAGTGGGGTAGCAATAAACACTTTGCATAGTTGTTGGAAGGAACAAATGAAATCATGTATGGAAAGTACTCCCTATTAAGTGCTTGTCACAGAAGTGCTTTGCGTTATTATTACTAACTGCTTTGAGGCTTTCCCCAAATCCCACTTCTTGTCTGGCTCTCTGGGGGAGTGGAGCTGTCAGATCAGCCTCCTTTTTTTAGTGACATGTTTGCAAGGTCAGAGGGAGGAAGAGAATCCTGCTCCCTTCCCCCCCAGCCCTGAGTCATGGGAAAAAATACTTCGAAGACTAGACCAGCTGAGCCGAACTAATCTAATCCTGCTGGACATTGGCATCCAGCTGCATTAGTCACCAGTGAGAGCTTTCTGAGAGTTGCACGAACAATATGAACGGACCCTTCCCCAGGGCGGGGCTGGGGGAAGTGGCCAGCTGCTCTTGCCGCTTAGCAGAATGAACTACAACAGAGCCCTTCTCTGTCCCGTGCGTGCTCCCAAGCCAACCGCCATGTCCTGGTGCTGTCCATTCTGCCTCAGATTAACTATGGAGGTTGGGGGCAGGTCGGGGGCGCTCAGTTTCCTCCGCTGGCCCCCTGATGCCTGCATGGCAAACACAGCAGATATAAAGAAGCTGATACAGAGCCCGAGGCGTGGTAGGTGCTCGATAAATGATGGCCGTTGCTGCTGTTGCTACGAATGTGACTCTCACGAGTCTTATTGCTGCTACCACTTCTCTGCTGTTATCAGGCTCTTCTTCCGGGGCCCAGATCCCCCAGGTTTCTATTAGCTCATTATTCCCATGCCATTTTCTGATGACTAGGAAGGGCTGGGATATTTCTCTGCTCTGTTGCAGAGGTTGATACAGAAATTCAGAGAGGTTAAGGACTGGCTCTGGGTCACAGGGACGATCGAGGGAAGATGTGGGAATTGGAACCAGAGCTACAAGTATTTCAGGTGCAGATGGGCCCAGCAGATGTTTAGGTCACTTCTGTGGTTCAAGATGATGAAGCCAGAAGCTTGCAGCTACTTGAACTTCTGTTTTCTTCTTATCATGTGTCCTTCCATCATGTGCTCAGAGAAGCAGGAAATCCATGGAGAAGCATGGTGGTGAAGGTCAACCTGAGTTTCTGTCCTTTGGAGCCCTTCCTAGGATTCTGTCCCTCTCCTGCCACAGGAGAAAGGTCTCTAGGCTCCAGGGTGGGGTAGATGTTCAGGAGCCAGAGCTTCTGTGGCTGTCCCAATCAGCCACCACTCCTATACCATGTTCTGGGTTTTTAAATCAAACGCTACTGCCACCAGCCAGGTGTCCCCACCTAACCTGGAAGGAGCAATGGCACCCACAGGCTTTAGTAACTAATCAGGGATTCTCACCTTTATAGTTTAAGGTAGGCGAGAGCACAGCCCAGACGGCCGGGGAGAAGGTGGACTCCCTCATACAAGGTCAGAATCTTCACCCTGATTTTATACCTAGAAAGGATCTCAGAAAACTGGTCCAGACAAAGATTTTGGGCCGGTGAGATTATTTTTTGTTATATTTTCTACTAAGACTGCTGATGCCTACATCCGTTCAAAATCACTCAGGTTCTTAGCATCAGAGGCAAGACTCGAATTCAGGTGCTTCAAGTCCAGTGTTTGGTCCCTTCTCTCTATGGCATATGGAAGAATGTTCTCTCTGCACAAAACATCAGATACACCTCCACCTCTCCCTGGCATACAAGCATTCCCTAAGCAGAACCTGTGGGATCATTCTCCCGGGGACAAGGGTCTGGCTGAGCTTCCTGTCTTGGGCCTGACCACATAGCCTTGCTTTGGGGTGACCAGCATCCCCAAGCCCTCTCTGCATGCTTGAGGATCTTAGCAGGTCCTGGCCAACAAGGAGGCCTGCTTGACCACAGGGTGCTTGCATTCGGGCTAAGGTGTTCTGACCTATCAGAAGGACACTGAAGTGGGAATCTCAGGTCTCACATATTTGTCCTCTCTAGGCATGCCATTTGGGGGGGGGGGGTTGTATTATCAATCAAGCACTTACTATGTGCTAAGTACTGAGCTAAGTGTTTTTCAGTGAAGTATCTTAATACTTTTGTAAGTTAAGGATCCATACTCTGTTTTCCATGTGAATAAACTGAGGTTCAACAAAGTGAAATAACTTGGCAGTGACGGGGCTTCTCCGTGGAGAGCTGGAGCCTGAGTCCAGAC